AAAATAAAGTCTAATTTTTCTATAGGATGTGATTAGTTCTCCGTAGCAACTTTGCGCCTAATTCCAAAGAACGGGAGATAACGAGGAACGATGGAGTACTAATAAGAAAAATGTTTATTTTCGGTTTACTTTGGAAACACTGAGTGTATTTTACAATTACAGTAAATCTACATATATAGTAATTCATATATTTTAAATAATCGATATGTGAAGTGACCTTAAAACAAAACCAAAACCGGTTTTTTATTTATATTTTAAAAGTAACCGAAATCAATGCCCCTTTTTTAGGTACGTTCGATAAAATTACAAATTTATCCTAAGTACGTGCGTTATTAATATATTTTTAATTAAAATATTAATAAAGGAAAGAAGAAATAAAAGTTTACGTACGGAAATTTTTATATTGGAGTATTCCGTATTGTGTAGATTTGTTTCAATTGAATTTTTATCGCTCTATATCTTAGGTTGTGTTGTAAATAAAAATAATCTATTTTCATGTTTTTATCAAATAATATGATAGTACTATGTTGTTAATTTATGTACAGAACACTTGCTAATATGGACTCTCGGTTATCTGATGTACAGTACCTTGTTTTATGTTTCTCTTCGTGTTTTTTTTAAGGGCATTCGGTAAACTTGTAAAACTTAAAAATAATTTCAGTATTTGTAAGTTACATAATTATCATAATAATTGTTATATTCCATGTTCAAGGAGTTAATAAAGTTGTGTAAATTTGCTATATATCACTCAATATTCAAAGAAATTATATGAAGAAAGGATTTGATGACACTATGTATAGATTAAAAGACCAGTAAAGTAGAAAGCAAAAAGTCTTGAAATACAGTATAAAATAAATAAAATTCTCATTAAAATATAGACTTCATATAAAATAAGACAATCATATTTATATAAAAAGAAGGAAAGACAGATTTATTTGTTTACTGTATTTTGATGAAATAATTATAGCAACCAGCGATAATGATTATATTAAAAAAACTAATATCACATAATACTTTGAAACAAAGGCCAGATGGTATACTGCAATAACTCCTGATTATACTGTGCATGTTGGGAGACAAACCAAATGAGCAGTTTATCAGATGTATGATATAACCATATATCTGTTCATCTGTTTTGTCTGTTTTCGATCTTCGTGCAGACTTGCTTTTTTGTTTTTTTTGTTGTATATTATACAATGATAGTTTTAGGGTCAATGATTGGAATAAGATAGTATTTCTTTGCCAGTTCAATAGAAATTTAATGATAACTAATTTTTTTTAAATTATTGGCTAATGTGTTCTTATGGTTGGAAGACAAAACAAAGCACAATATATCTGAATAAGAGATTTAATAAGGGACTACTGTACTAAGAAATTCAAATCGAATGTAATGGAACTGGAAAATTTTTTGATGTTTTCATCATCATTACATTTGGTTTGAAATAGTAATAAAAAATAAATACTATCATGTTTTAAATGAGTAATGCAAAAGAACCTGACAATATTAAATGTCAGGAAAATGAAATATTTCTACCAGGTAACATGTGCAAGAAAGCATTATGTTGATTACTGTTATGGGAATTTTGCTGAAAAATTAGCAACTCAATGAATGAAGATTGGAAACATATAAAATTATATATTTAAAAATACCTTATTTTGCATGTTTCTAATCTTCATTCATTTACACATATACATGTTTAAAATTGTCACTTAATGGGATACTTAAATTACAATTACAAGAAATCCGATGCTTCATTCTGATATTATAAAGCAAATGTTAATAAGTACTTAATCAAATTGTTAGCATCACTTACTTTGGTTGATGAAAACTATATATTATAAAGAAATTTAGTGTATAATGAGCAATTATTTATTGTGACATTGTCACATCCTGGACTGCACTTTTAATCATATTTTTAATTTATTGAAGAAAACTGTCACTTAAAACAGGTTAAATTAGAATTAAAAAACACTAAACTTATAAACCAGCAAATTTTTATAACAAATGCAAATGTTTTCTTCACCCATGTTGAATGGGCATCATCGGGCAAACTAATCACTGAAACAAACATTGTCGGAACATCTGTGCAGAGGGGAGGTGCACATGTGTTCGGCAATTTCCTGTTATTTGGTGATTAGTTTGTCCGATGATGACCATTCAATATGGGTGAAAACATTTGCATTTGTTATAAAAATTTGCTTGTTTATAGGTTTAGTGTTTTATAATTCTAATGTTTTTAATTTATTTAATTTGAAATATATGCTCTCCATCTCAAATTATTAGTAATGTCTGACATCATACTTTTCCTTTAACAAGAGTTGTGCTGGTCATCTATTGACTGCTTTCAGGGGAAAAGGTTTGAATTGAAATTGGGTGACTTCTGGTCTGCATTGGACATTTGTATATAGTTAATTGGGGCCTCCAGCCCTAAGGAGTTTAATAGATGAAATTCAAGAGCAGATATGGAATATCTGCTCTTGAATTTCATCTATTAAACTCCATTCTCAAGATTAAGGAAAGACAGATGGATAGATGACAGTGGGAATTTATAGAGGTACAATTTTTTCAAATGCAGCCCAATCTGAAACTTTACTTGACATACCTAATTATGCTATTTTGAAATCCTTAGAAAATAATTTTTAATTTTCAAGTGAAAAATTAGTCCAAGAACGAATTGTTTCTAAGAAGGTTGTTTTCAGTTCTCTTGGCACTTGTCGTGGTACTGTACTTCTTAACAGTCATGTTACAAACATACATTATCTTATTGACATACTCAAGCTACAATAGACATTAAGGTTTGTCAGTGCATGTTGTTGCATACAATAGAAGAGAGTACAGGTGGCACAAGTATTGAATTTAACATCTATTTTATACAAAAATGTCAAACAATATTAAAATGTTAATATATTAATTTAAGAAAAGATCATTATTGTGGAATACTACACACAAAGATTACAAGAACAAAACAAACAAACAAAATTTTTAGTGTGGATTGATATAGATTAGATGTTAATAAATCATCTAAGGAAATTTAGTAATGGCCACACAAATGTTCATTGTTTTAGGTGAATCCATAGCTTTATTTGTTTGTGTTTAATTTGAAAATATTTTTCTAATAAAAAAAGAAAATATTACAATTTTACTAGTGTCCAACCCGTCTATGATTAGCTTTCAAGCATTAATAATTTGATGTCTAAGAATGTTGGAAAATGTACTTTTCTGCAGTATATATTCGTATAATGGACTTATTTTATGTTTGTGTGTTCCCAACCTTAATGTAAAATTCAAAGTATTAGCATTTTGCTTCAATGAAAGTAAATTCCAAAGCTCCTTGCTTAACATTAATTCTAAAAATGTTTTGTTTTAAAAAACATATATTAAATAAAAACTTTGAGAAAAAAATTTTTAAATGTTATAAAAAAAAACAGATCTTTGTGTATAGATAACTGAAACGAGTATGTAATTAAAATATATGAAATTAAATATTTATTAAATTAATTTATTTCAAATTCTTGCATTAAAAAACTTAAGAATTTGTAATGATCTTTTAGTGTTTGTAAATATTTTGTCTGTTTGGACAGTTTTCACCTTTTTTTTTAAACAAGCCTAAAATGTTTTTCAATTACTGAAATATAATAATGAAAAATAAAAAAATGAGAAGTTGCATGACTATGACTAATGACTGCAGGAAATGTGATATTTAATCAGATGATTGGAATAACAAATTTTCTAGATTTTTAAATTCTATTTATGTAACTGAGATAAAGCATAAATTACAAAAAACTCATTCAGATATTTTCATTAATATTACCAGAAGGATTGCAAATGAACATGATTAAATGCAATTGAGAAATCATTTTAAAATATAGTTATTTCAAATGAGGTATTTACTGTATTAATTTTAATTAAATTTAAAAAATTACATTTTTATGTGATATTTAACTTACAAAATATGTAAATAGTAAAAAACCAACATAGCTGGTTTTTGTTTTTTAGTGAAAAAGCAAAATTGGAAGTTTTCAAAAACTTTGCTGTTTGTATATTTAAAATTTGTCATTGTTTAATATAAAATTATCATTGTTTAATATAAACATTGTAAAATTATACAAGTTTATATTAAACAATGATAAATTATCAATAAATTTGAAGTTTAATTTTTTTTTTCCTAAATATTTTACAGTTGCATCATATAGATGTAGTAAAGAAATTTTTGGAAGAACAATATATCTAAATTGTCCAGAAGCAGGAGATTCTCCAGATAAAAAGTATTGTTGCGGAACAGAGAAAATTCGTTATTGTTGTAATACTGAAGAATTTGCCAAGACAATGTAAGCCTTTCATTTTCTATGAAATTTGTTTTTCTAATACGATGATGAATAAGTTTTTTTAATTAAATTTTTAAATTAGTTACATAAGTAAAGTCATACATGTATTAGGATGACCACCACCATAATAACATAAATAAAAATCCCATTAAAAACAATACAATGCAATAAAAAATTAAAAATAAGCATAAATAGTAAGATTAAAAGTACAAGAGTGTAAAAATTATTTTTAAAAATAATAATCAATTTAAATAATAGGCTAAACAATAGAGCTTTTAAAATCAAAAAAAATCATAATCTATTATTCTTTAAAACTTATTATTACAAAGTATAATGTTCATGTAAGTAGAAAAATAATACGATATATTTATACTTATTCTGTAGCTGAAAGAATATTTTTTCAGTATTTCATGTAAAGTTTTTTATTTAATATTAGGGTAAACATCAGGCTTTTGTTATCTAAATACTTATACTCAATGCAATAATGCAAATACAAAAGTGAATATTTGTATTTGCTTATAGGGATAATTTTGACATATGTATTTCAAATATTACGTAGTTTTCTAAATTGATTATCAAAAAATTATATTCAGATTGTATTTAATTTTTTTATCTTATTACTTCATTTATCTAAGCAGTTAGTTATTGATTTAATAATCTTTGAAAATTAATATCTTTGTTTCTGTTGGTTCTGTTTTATTATTATTGTTGAAATTCAATTATTTTTTTTAATTATGTTATTATTTCTGGACTTATATAAATATGTTTGTGTATATAAATATAAATTTCAAATAACATAAAAATCTGAGTCATGTTGATTGATTCATTAATTTATAATTTGTGGTCGTATTAGTAGAATTCTCTAATAAAAAAACAAGTATATAAAATCATTTTTTAGATATTCATAATTTATTATATTATTATGCATATCTAAAACTAATTTTTTTTAAATATTGAAAATTGTTTTTTAGACTTTATCTGAGTTATTTATTATATTGTTAAATTTACATACAATATTGAACTAGTCTAAAAGTGAAATAAATAAAACAAAACAAAAATATTGAAATTGCATTATGATTTTTTTTTCTTTTTAAATTTTTGGACTGCAATTTGAAAAAATTATAGACCTATAAATTCTCACTGTCAATTTCAAGAAGGGAGATAGATAGATGAAAGATGAGATCAGATAGGGAAACCTTAGGGGCAGGAGGCCACGATTAACTATACTGTATATGAACTCCCAATGCAATCCAGAAGTCACGTTATTTCAATTCAAAAGTTTTTCCTGAAAGGTATTAGATAGATGACCAGCATGACTATATTGTTGAGGGAATAGTATGATGTACAGGGGCAAGCCACTATTAATTTGATGTGGAGAGCATATATTTTAAATTAAATTATTCATTCTATTGTGATAAAATTCTTAAAACAGTGAAGGAAGTGGTAAAAAGTTGAAAATATTTCAGTAAATAAATAAACATGTACAAAACATGTTGTCTTCAAGAATTGTTTTCTGTTTCTGAAGATGATATTTTGTATATGCACAAATAAACGAGTTGCCGTTTGTTTTAATCATTTTAAAACCAATAGAATGAATTTGTTTTTTTGTTATTTCATATCAATAATTGTGTAAATATCACATGTTTTACTTCCAGTATTATTAATGTTTTAATAAGTTATGCAAGTTTGAATTTATTGGCAAACTTTTTCTATTTATAATTTAGTAATAATTATTAAGGAAGAATTTTTTTTTCTTTTAAAACATGTACTGAAGTTTTACATGCAATCTATGGCTTACATTGAGAAAATATTATACATAATAGCTTATTTTATGCTTCAACAGTTTAATGATTTTAAAGCTTCTTGTTTTTCCTAAAATAAAAGATTGATTTAAAAAAATTTTTTAGTATAACTGCTCTTTTAACCATAGTAAATAATAGGTGATTAGAAAATTTATATTGGATGTTTTTTTTCCCTATAGACTGAAAGTGCCTTCTTGATATGTCTATTACAGGTTTGCATGTGTCAAGTTCTGTCCTTATGATAAAAGACAGAACTTGATACATGCAGTATGATTATCCTGAAAATTTTTGGTAATCTGTCCTGGATATCTGAATGGGAGTCTAGGTTCTTCAGACAAGTGTTTAAGATGATTTAATCATCTTACAAGGAAAGGCAACCAAATAATTACCAAATTAGCAGAAATCATTCTCAGCAAAGAAAATAGCAAATACTCCAACACCTTATTTGCTGAGAAAAACTAATTCTTTGCAAATGTTTTTTACCTGTTTTACAAGCCATTTTCAATTGCAAAATCCAAGTTAATGATTGTAAATCAAATATTTTCAAACATTTTTATATTGTTTTTTTTTTTTTATGTTACTCACTCAAATGACTGCCATAATTAATTAGGTTATAAATTTGCTTTTAATAATGATTAGATATTAAGTAATTTGGTATTAATTTGGAAAGTTTATTATATCTTTTTGTGATGCGTTCATTTAATTTAAATTTCATAATATGTTTAAATTTTGTATTTAAATTTTGTTCCAATGTTTGAAAATATTTTATAAGTTCATATCATATGGATGTTCTTAGTTTGAATATTAAGTTATTTTAAGAAATTTTTTTTAATCTTTATTTTTGCAGGAAAGGATGGTTATATTTTTTCACTAACAAATTATTTATTTTTCCATTTCTTTACTAATTTACTTTATTAAATAAATGAATTTGTAAATATATTTCTGTGCTCACCATTGAATTTATTAGCAATTGTAAATGATTACCAATACTGAAGTTACTCGAATTTGTTCAAAGACACACACTAAATAACAGCAAATGACTTGAAAGTAGAGATTACAAGCATACTGCATAGCAGAGGCTGTGGGTTTTTAATTAAAATAACAATAAAAGACAGAAGAAATAAAAGTTTACGTACAGAAATTTTTTACCTTGGGAGTATTTTGTAGATTTGTGTCAATTGAATTTTTATCATTATATATATCTTAGGTTGTGTTGTAAATAAAAATAATCTATTTTCATGTTTTTATCAAATAAATTAATATGATAGTATTATGTTGTTAATTTATGTACAGAACACTTGCTAATCTGGACTCTCAATTATCTGATGTACCTCGTTTTTATATTTCTCTTTTATTTGTTTTTTTTTAAAGGACATTCAGTAAACTTGTAACAATAAATTTAATAAAGAATTAAAATTACAATTACCATCTCATTGTACATAATTTTGCAATAACAAACCAGTACAGCTCCAAAAGAGATGTCCTGTAACAAAACCACTCTTGAACTACCAGATATATGGGTTACACTCTACAAAATGTTAAAATAATTGCATATACATTTATTTTATTTTAAGATAGCTATGTTAAAATACATTTTGTTAAAATTATAACATGTATATTTGTATTTTAGGATAGCTATATTTTTATTTATTTATTCTTCTATTCATTAGTGATATGCTTCCTGTTTATATTAAACATAAATTTTTTGAATTAATTTAAATTTTTGTAAATTACTACATGCTAAGATTTAAACCATGTTTTTGGAATCTTTTATTGTAGTTTGAATATTACATTATATATGCTCTGCCTTAAGATGACATTTTGAAATGTCAAAAGTAAGTAAGGAACCAAAACCAACATAGCGCAATGGGGACCAAAATCTGAGGAGTGGCTAACTCTATTTTAAAATCTAAGTTGAGGGAGAGTTTACAAACATTCTAACATAATACCTCTGAGAGAGTGTGAGGAGGTCTTCTCCATCCATTGAGGCATATTTGTCGGGGATCCTTTATGGAGCCGGGAACATGGCAAACAAGCCGTTGTCTTCTATGGCCTTCCTAGTATGTCTGCCCCAAGGCTTGAGTTTCAGCCCCTTTTATATGCGTGGTGCCTGAGAATTGACTCAGTGACTTTGATTTAATGTGTTCTAAATTTGAGTTGTGTCCAGGTTTTTTTCTGATGCGGGATATCAAGAACCAGACTATTCAGTGGAATTATTGCTATTTTCTAGCTGTTTTTATGACTCCTCTTATCTCATAATTCAATGTTTGACAGTTTCCCTTATTAATAATTGACTGTCTTGACTAAGATCGTAACCTAAGTTCAAACATCCTAGTGATGGTTGACTTTGATATTTGATTGGTTTTATCTATCAGAGTGTTGTGAGAAAAAGGATATGTGGTTTTTCCACTTCGTCATCTTTTCACCATTTGATCTTTTGGTCACCCTTTTCTCGGGTAGAATATTACTTTAAATATTTAATTAATTGGAAGTTGTTGAATTGAAGTATTTGTGATTAATTCACAATGAAAATAGAAAAACTGCAAAGAGTAAGACTATTTATGTTTACAAGTAAGTGTAAGTTTTAATACCACTGCAAAATCTCCAAGTAGCTAAATAGAATATTAGAAAACTATAAATTAAAGGGAATAGAACTTATTTATTCTATGAGAACTTGCAAAAATACAGTATACATTTACTTATTATTAGAGGTCGGATGAAAAGGAAAATGATGTAGATCATCAATAGAATAAAAATATCTAATTAGTAAACAAATGCAAAATATAAATACTTTACTGGTGGTTTATACTTTTTGCTATCAAAATTCATTATTTCTTACTTTCCTCCAATTCTTGAGAGGAAGTGTAAAATTCATGAAGCAACATACATGTCAGATGCTGAGTTCTTAGGAGATTTAATCATGTATTAATCCTCCAGTGTTGTTGAGATATTTTATCATCTCAGATAAAATTGAATAAAGAACAAATATTTGTTGTACATTGATTCATAACAAATATTTAATAAATCTTTAGACTTAAAAATTTAACATATTGTTACTGCTGATTTTATGTTACTGAAATATTTTATTAGTTCATATGCAATTTCTGATAAGGTGTATTATATAAACTGATTCCCTGAGCTACTACTTAGAAACATAACCTTTAATCATTTCATTAAATGCTTATTAATAAGGCAATTGGAGTGTTTAATATCATGCTAAACTTGTGAATTGATAGGTAGTGTTTACAGTATTTTAGTGTCATGGGGAATTGGTTGGAATTATTCAGATGGACTAGGAAATGAGTTAGTTTTTTCATGAGAAATGAATGAAAATACCTCTCTAATATTTGAATTTCTGATATTCAAATTATTTTCAGGAACACATTATATTTGGTTAACTGGATAAGGCTGTATACAATATTAGTTTTAAATTTTAAAAAACTTTTATGATGTAAAACTAATATTAAAAAGTTATGAGAAATAAACTCCTACATTAAAAAAAATTTATATATATATATTGAGTAGCATAATATTTTATTTATTTTAAATAAATTAATAGTTAGGCTAGAAATTAATAAAATTTGTTTACATTTCAGAAATGCCATTGGACTTATAATTGGTGTTCTTATATCTGCAATTGTTGTTATTGTTGTCATTGTAGTTGTATCATGCTTTTGCTGCAGTTGTTGCTTGTTGGCAAAACGTCGACAACAAAGAGGAAGAGTATTGTATGGTAAGAAATTCTGATAGTCTGTTTATAATGCTCTATAAATAATATATTAAATTTTTATAATATATTATTTATTATAAAATTTTACACAAGTAATGCAAATCGTGTTATTACTTTGCAGAGTGTAAAAATTGAGTTAACAAAATTTTTACTTCAATATTATTATGTCTTAAATAAAACCTTAATTCAAACATTTATTTTTAAAAGATGTTTAATACAAAATTCAAACTTACAAATGTAAAACACAAATACAAAAAAACAAGAAATATAACATATTATTTTTGATCTTCCTATAAGGATATATATATAGTATATATAGTAGATATATATATAGTATATATATATCAACTATATAAGGATATTTATATCCTTATATAGTTGAATTCCTGGGGAATGACACATACAAATAAATAGGATCTTTGGGTTACAATAAACAAGTATAGACAAAACAATATATTAAAAAAAACATAGGATTTGAGCAGATACTTAGTCAATATAAAATTGAATGTTAAGAATGTCAAAGTATTTAAAAACTTAGGAAGTATTTGTAATGACTAAAATATCCAACCAAATATATTTGCTTAATATTTATATATGTGCCATTAAAACTTGGAACTAACTTTTTTATGGAGTTCATGTACTCTAGTTCCAATTTGTAAAATGATTAGTCTAGTCCAGGCATGGTGAACATCGTCTAATGAATTTATGCGGCCTGCGATTAATCTTTTAATATTAGCTACTCAAGTCCGAATAGCTCAATGAAAAATTCTGATGCCTAAAAAAAAGGGGTGCCAACAACTCGCTGTGCATTTAGAGTTAATCCTCCATTACAAATCTCTTAAGTACAGCGTAGAATGTTGATAAAGCATGATAATGTGAAAAATGTATCTGTAATCTCTATGTACAATTTAGTCTCTACGGGATGACACCACAATGAGCTCTCGCACCACCTCAAAATCTTCCTAGAGCAGCCTCTGATTCAGCCTGTGAAAAAGTTCTCTTTCCAATTTGGCCGGGGGCAAAAACTGTTGGCCACCCCTGGTCTAGTCTTTTGGTGGTGGCAAGAGATTTAAGAATCTGTTATGATGCATCTTACAATTGAAGAAGTGAAGTTTAAGTTTGAAATCAAATTTTGAAAAAATTTTTTAACTAATTAATTTTATTATAAATTTTGTTAAGTAATAAAAAATTAGGAAAATAATATCATGAAACATAGTTTGGCAGCTGTTTCCATGCACTTCTGTGTATTCAGTAATTTTTCATTTTATTGCTGCATTATAATAGTCTTGAGGACATTTAAATAAAAAAAATATATTATTGATCTACTTTTTTCCTTTATCTAATATGCAAAGAATATATTCCAAATTAATGATTTTTAATAATATTTACATGCATTACTTCATTTTTTGTTTAAAGTTCTTTTATTTAAAGAATAAAATATGGTTTTTTAGAGCAAATATAGAATTTTTATATTTAATTTTTAATCATAAAAAATTAAATGCTTATTACCAACTAAGCTCATGTAATGTGACTGAATAGTATTTCCTAAAATAGACTGTTATTGGTGCATAGTTCATCTATGATGACAAGATTTCATGTTGGTCATGTGATTCTATGTAAAAAGAAAAATAATTTTTAAGTTGATATAAATTTTAAACAGTCTTCAAATGGAGAATGGAAGATGCATTTGATGATGATTTTGAAACATTTTAGAAACATTATCTGAATGGAGGTGTGTTCAATTCAAAGAATTCGTTTAGCTTGGAGAGAAATGTTCTAGAATTAGAATGGGTTTTTGGAATTTATATTTTGAGAGTAGAAACCCAGGCTATCAAGTAAAGAGTAGAAAAAAAATTTTTTTTTTTAGTGAGACCCATTCTGGCACTCTTCTTCCTTCAGAAGTTTAGGAAGCTTTCTGTAAGAACCACAAATGGTTATTAGGTCACATTAATAGTGTGAACATATATGTATCTTATCTTCAGTGTGTTAAGAATTGAATAAACTTTATTATGTTCATGTTCATGAGTTGTCTTATTTGAATGTCCTGTCTGACTTATTGGCAGCATAGTATGGTTGAAAGTCTTAACTTATGGTCTTCTCACTTTGATTGTTATTTTAGAGTGAATATAAGATGCCATTGATTATAAGAGCATCTCTGTTTTGGACAGGTAAAAACAATTTTAAAAAATGTTATGGAAATATGGTATAAACTAAGAATAATATGGAAAAATTTTTTAAATATAAAAACTTAACTTATATAAATGTTAAGAGGGACTTAACATTTATATAAGTCCGAAATACATATGTGGAAACAATAAAAGAAGTGTCTAGCCTGAAAGCTGTAATGATAGTCTACCGAACTTAATGTCAGATTAAAGAGACATTCATACATAAATATAAAAATATAGAAATCACTAAGATGATTCTGTAGAAAACACATCTACTTTGTTCATTGTTTATTGTGTACTTTCAAACAATACAGAGTGTGAACAGATGTATTTACTAAAATGTAGAGTTGCTAAACATGCAATAATCAGTTGTGTAATCCTTTTGCATGTTCTCTCTGTTTCCTCTGGGCTTGCTATCATTCTGCATTGCTATTCCTAATCTTGAAATCTTTCCATATCTCATTTTGTTTTTCCATAGGCAACTACCAGATGCACTTTTTCATAGAAAAGTTTGCTTGAATTCCAACGTGGCCAAATTCAAAATGTTGAGTAAATTATCATCAGGAGACTTGGTGGAAATGTCTATATTTTTTACATAAAACAGATTCATAGACATATATGATTTTGTTTGTTACATATTTTATTCCATAGAATAAAATTGGAATATAATTATTTCTTGGAGACAAAATTGAACAGATTTGCATACATGTGTTTAAGCTTTTTTATGATGAAACAACTTTATCCATCTCTGGTGATGTAACATAAAACTCACAGGTCAACTTATAGTTTATTATATCAATCATTTTTTGAATTGTTTTCCAAGTTTCAGGTAAAAAATTCTATTTTAGATATTGCAAAACTTGGCATAATTAATTTAATGTGACAAGACATTGCTATCTATTATTTGAAAAATTTTTTCATATAATTTTCTACAATTGCTCTCTACAGACAAAAAGTAAATAATAATCCTCAAGGTTTGATTGAATGAGCATTTTGAGATTGGAAACAATGATGGAAAAATGATGATGAAAGTGTCCAAATTGTTTAACTTTTTCATTATGTTTTTAGAAAAAGTTTTATAAAATAAGCTCAGGATGAATCCATAACAAAAGATGAGAAATTTTATTTACGATGCAAATTAAAAATAGTTGCTTATTATTATAAACATACAGTGTTATATTTTTATATACAGTGTTAATAATTAACCAATGTAATTATTTTAATTTATTTAAAATATTAATCTATTTATTTACGTAGTCATAAATTCTATTTCAATTAATTTAATAGACTTACAGTATATCTTTTTATTTCTTATTATAATTATTAAAGTAAAACATTTGTTTTTATAGGACCTACAACAACAAGTACTACTACAACTGTACCTTATCCAACCCAGACAACTAGTTCTTATCCAACACAAACAACTGGACCTTATCCAAGTCAAACAGCTGGTTCTTATCCAAGTCAGACAAATGCTCCTTACCCTAGCCAGACAAATACTCCTTACCCCAACCAGACAAGTGCTCCCTATCCAAGTCAAACAACTGGTCCTTATCCAGCTCATTATCCTTATCCACCTCAACAATATCCTCCACAATATCCACCTCAGCAGTTTCCATCATCAGGATATCAAGGATTTCCATCTGCTAATAATCCTCCACCTTACTCTAGTATTGAACAACCACCATTTAATCCAGATTATTCTGGTAAATGATTATTAGATTCAATATTTGCCAAATATACAATTTATTCTAGCTGTATTTGTTAATCTTTTTCAATAAAATATTTTTCATTTGTATTTGTTTTTTAAATATTGGAATTTAAAATGCTCTTTGGTAATTGATGTCTTCTTGTCAATATTCAATTTTTTAGAACTTATTCAAACTGAATGTTGTCTTATTTAATTTGTTTGTCCCTATTTTCTTTATATATATTAGAATCTCTATATTAAGTTCTTGTTGTGATCCATGCCTTGTAAATTGATTCTCTTCCTCACTGTGCATTTTGACTTCACAATAGATGTAAAGTAAATGCCATATTTATCTTGTTACTTTAAATTTGTTGAATTTTAACAGTAATTTATGTATATTTGATATGTAGTATAATATAGATTTTATAATGGTAAAATATTTAAAAATTAAGATTTAACTTTCTCAAAATCTTAAGCATTATATAAAAATTTGTAAGTGTGTAATTTTAAATCAAAAGAACAAAGAGAATTTAAATTATTTGCACACAATTTTAAAAAAACATATAAGATCTATACTATTAGTGTTATATTGTATTACTAAAAATTTAATAATACAGCTAATTTCTATAAAAAAGAAAAATGAGTGCTTTATAAACGAGTTAGAACGATTTTCAAAACATTTAAAGATAAAAGTATGTAGATTTTAAACAGATTAGATTGTATTATTAAATTATTAGTATATACGACGCCTGTATTCTAATTATAGAAGATTGTGTAAACTAAAATATATCTTAAATCGAACTGAAATCAAAGAAAATTTTATTGACTCAGGTATTGACTGTTTGTTTTTGTTAAGTACTGCTTTACTGTGAAGAAAAACAGTGAACATATGAAATTAACTAATATTTAGATTAATGTATGCTAATAATAATTGATGCCAAACATTAATCCAGTTTGTGAAATTTATTGTATATTTTAAAATTTTAATGTGTTAACTTTTAAGCATGATTATATAATAAATGCTTTGCTTTTATCTAATGTAATTTATATAGATTAGATAAGAGAGAATGTCATTAAATTACAAATTAAATTAAATCTAAATTTCATCATTTAGTGAATATATTGTTTAATTTGTCATCATTTTTTCCAGTTTGTGTTTAGCCATTGCTGTTTAATTACATATTTTAACTTTCTTTGAATCATTTTGTTTTCCACAGTCATGTTAAATTGGCTTATTTATAACATCAATATCTATATTAACTTGATTCTGACATCTTCATTTGATACAGTATCTCATTGCAGGCCGAGGTGGCAACCTACCGCTCTGGGGGACACGGGATCGAATCCAAACGGATTGAAAAATCCCCAGGAATTTTTCAGGGGGTGGTCCATTTGGATATGTTGAGCCCTGTCCCTCACCACCTGGCTGCCCCATTCTGGGCCTGGCTGAACCCATAATGGGTCTGCTGAAAAGAGGCCCTCTTAGTGCCTGCAGGGCAGAAAAAGTTAAAAAAATATATAAAAAAAAAGTATCTCATTGCATTTTGAATCTTAATTCTTATTAAATTTGAAAATATTAAATATAATTTCTCTTTTGAGAAATTATATTTAATAGATTAGGTATTTTCTATGGCTTGGGGTGCATTATTGAATGATATGCTAATTAATGATTTGCTTTTTTTTATATGCTTTGATATTTATTCTGAATGGTATGCTTTTTCAAACATTTTTAAATACAGTTAATCCAGATAAGGTTAAGGTGGCAGCTTACTGCTCTGGAGACCAGGGATGGAATCTGAACGGGTCAAAAACCCCAGGACATTTTTAATAGTCTATTTGGATATATTGAACCCTGTTCCTCACCACCCTGCTGCTCCATTGCAAACCTGGACAAACCTATAATGGAATTGCTGAAAAGATCCTGTTAGTGCCCATGAGGGAGGGAGGGTTCAAAAAATACCATAAATTTATATTGGATATTTTAATTTTAATATAAATAGAATATCTGATGTTACATAGACTATTGGACATCTTATCAAATTGAATATAACATATCTATTTTAATGATACAAAAACATTTCAGTTTTCTGTGTCATGAAGTGAAGAATTCAACACTTACTATATTCAATTTTCAGCTACTTCAGATGAATTGAAAATCTGAATTGGCCAGCATGAGAGAGATGGAGAATAATTCGTCATTTTGGATCATTCATGATAAATTAGGGTGGTTTGAGTTGCCAAGAGTTTTAATATTGAGCTTGCCAATACTGTATAATAATCTATAATACCTTGCTGCTTGGCATCTAGCTGTGATAAACAGGCTGTATCTGATATTCTATTACAATTTAGGCTAATTCAATTAACAGGCTAAATCGAATGTTATTTTCGTCCCGATGCAACACAAACTCAATTTTATATAATGATGTAGCAAATAAACGAGTTTTTGAGGGTGCATTCCATTAACTCAAAATCGATAGTTTCGATCAAATTATGTTTAAAGTTTGTGATCCATTTCATCGAAAACATTAACACAAACTGGAAATATATCGAACATTTAATTGTGTATATTTAAATAAATGCCTACATGAAAGTACAGTTGTGCTAGCAAATCCAAACCACAATACAAAGGTGTAGAAATGTAACGACGTTTCGTGCATAAAGATTTGATTAATTTGTTTACTGTAACGTGGCATGGCGATTCCTCCGGGAAGACTTTCTGTTGAAAACGTCCTCTACAAACGAAGAAAACCACGTGGGCGGTCTATTGGCCAGGCGCGAATCCACCACTAACTCCCAATGTTTGGTGGTTTTTCCTACTCGGCGTGCCACTGATGGGCTTCTCGCCTAAAGTATCCATTTGATTCATTAATTCACATTTATGAATAACACCTGAGAAAGTATTTCGTTTCTAAATTGTCAAAATCATTTTAAAAATGTAAAAACAATGATTTCAGTCGTAATTTTCATCAGAATCAGTTTGTCATATTAAACAAGATGGTCCGATTTTATTTATTATATAATTTGTTAACGAAAACTGTTGAAATTTTGTTTTTATACGTTCAACTAGTTAAACTTACCGGTACTTACAGTATATTGTTAACGCGAATTTTCTATAACACGGTTGATCGGTCAGGACCGTGTTAAGCCATAGCCAAGCACTAAGCTTTCAAGTGTTTCGGTTCCTCTCCGTCACTTCTAATCTTTCATCCCACTACAGTATGTTAGGTACAGTACTAGACCGCTTAGAGCAAAAATATTTTTAAAAAAATGTTTAGGGGCGCCACTGCCAGCATCAATTTAACTGATGCTAGCTACGCACCTTAAACAGAATGGTTTCGCTCCTCTAGTTTGTAAGGATCGACTGGTCCTCTCTCATTGGACGAAAATTTAGCCCCCTCATATATCCGCTTTTTGACAATATATGAAAAAAACTCTTGTTGACATATTTATTTATAAAGGACAGAGTTGACTTTCGTGAATAGCACCCTGTGCCGTATTTACAGGGGCTTAAACGGTTCTCGCGCTTGATTAGTGCTCAGCCTCAGCACTTTAGAAAGGCATCATATTTACATTCCTCAAAAATGAAATCGTAACACCACAACGTAATGCATGTTGCAAAATAGAAATAAACCTAAAGCACTGTAACATCTTTTTCAAGTGCTTTTTTTGTATACAGTAGGACAACACATACCACATGCAAATTGCAGGCCCGGTGGAAGTGACAAAGATATGCAAAAGATTAAGTTTGCGTACGCATCAGGTCACGTGGTATCCAGTTTCGGGTTCTAAAAATCAGCAACCGACTCGGGCCGTAAATGTTATCGGCGACAGTTCGCAGCAGCTAAACTTTTGAAGAAGATTAGAATATGCTTTGGGGACAACAGAGAAATGGATACCACCAGTTGACGGCTGGGAAATCAGACCTGCTCAGCAGTTGAATAAAAAGTTACTCAGTTTAAGCAGTGACTGTTATTTGTCCTACTGTATAGAAAGAAGGCACTTTGAAAAAGATGTTACAGTGCTTTAGGTTTCCCATAATGGGCTTGCAAAAAAGAGGCCCTCTTAGTGCCCACAGGGCGGAAAAAGTTAAAAACAAAAAAGAAAAGAAAAGTGCTTTAGGTTTATTTCTATTTTCATTATTACTTTTTAAAACCAGGCATGTAGGTAGGTAGGTATTGTACCTAAATATTTGTAGCAATCAAGTCTTTAGATTAGTGGCCCACCAGTGGCCAACAATTCCATTCCAGGTTTTCTCCACGTCTGTAATACCTGAATAGGGGCCAGTTACTTTAAAAATACCTCCCGGAAGACATCCCCCCTAAGCAGATCGCCCAGTGTTGCGTTGTCGTAACTTAACAAAACAAAATTTAGATTAGTAACAGACCACAAATGAAAATTTATAAATCATTTATGGCCGCTTTCATTGCCAGAACAGCTTAAAAAAAGTGAAAATTGTTATATCCATTTGTGTCCAACCATCTAAGCATTAAAATGTATGTAGGTTATCTAGTAATCCAATTCTCTATTGTAGTTTTAGTAAATGGAAGACTAACAAACTCAAGGATTAGTATATTGGCTGCCTGACAAGATTCACTTGGATCAAGTAGCCATTTTTTTTAACTCTCCGCCTTGTGGGCACTAAGAGGGCCTTTTTTACCATGCTCGTTATGGGTTCGGCCAGGCCCACAATGGGCGCCGGGTGGCCCGACATATCCGAACGGACCACCCCTAAAAATTTCCTGGGGAATTTTCGACCCATCCTGATTCGATCCCAAGCGGTAGGCTGCCACTTTGACCGCTCGGCCATCTGGCCTAATTATTTATTGTAAATGTCATTAATGTGTCAATTGTCAAACAGCAATATGTAAAATTCGTGGCGGGAAGCTTAAAATAATTTTAAAAATACAGTCGATCACCCCCCTATAACACGGTAGATACGTTCCGGTTTTTATGAATCCATTTTCTACGAGTCATTAAATACATGAGCCAATCACAGCCCGGCACGTATGCAGTTTACGGACTACGGCTGTTTGAAAGGTTTTCTTCCATAAAATTAATCGATTCTAGACTAATTCGACTCAACATTTCCAAAATACGTATAATTTTTTGGGAATAATCCATATAAACTATGCTATAAACAAAAAATTGTAGGATTACTTACCGAATGTGCACCGTTCAACGACGCCATTGCTTAAGCTTGTTTTCGTCGTGGAGCTTGTCATCGAATGGCGCTCGCGTGCTTTTTGATAAATTATTTTTTTTGCAAAAAATTCGCTGAACTTTGGAGACATCATTAATATAAATGTAATTTTTATGGACGTTAAATAATAAATGGTTTTTAGTAGGTCCGCTGCTGGTTTAAACTCAATGGTTTGTACAATATCCACTATTGGTCTAGATTTGACCAATCCTGTCGCGACATGAGTCGGCGATGACATTTTACCGAATTATACGAGTTTTTTTTAGCGTGTTTGTACGAATACTGTCGCAATTTTTTCGCCTTCATATAGGAATCCGAACTATATGAACCCGTTTTATAAGGGGGTCTACTGTATAGCCAAAATAGAAGCACTAGCGACAACAGGTGGCTTTACTTTGTAGAAAATTATGGTGTGCACCACATGCTTGCTTATGGTATCCCGGGTTACACTACATGCCAGCTGTTTTCTCTGAGCACACGGGTTCCTCACCAGGCATCATAGTTTGGGAAGGCATCGTGTTCGATCAGCGGCAATCCTGGTGAACATTTCCTGTACTCCGACAGCAGACCAGCACGTCACACGAATTGTGGGGCCTGTGGTTTGTTCAATGGTGCAGGCCGCACCCGACAAGGTGTTCCAGCAACATAATTCCTGACCACACATCACCTGGTAAACTCTCATCAGCCAGAACTGAATTCGCATTCTTCCCTGGCCAGCAGCCTGGCTAGATCTTTCTTCCATCGAAATCTGTGGGATCTCAGGCAACCATTTATCTCCTCGTTGAAAGTATGCCTCGCCGTATAGTGGCCGTATGGCTACCC